TCAGCATGCTATCTCCAAGCTCATCCATGTGGCAGCGTGTACAAGACTTCCTTTCTCTTTATGGTTGAGTAAGAGCCCACTGAACAGCATACCGTATTTTGTTCATCCATTCATCTGGAGAGGGACACTTGAGTTGTTTCCCCCTTTTTGGCTATGATGAATGGTCTACAACCCTCTTTTTAAGAAGGGGTTTTTTCTGGGTTTTCCAGACCCTAGCATGGCTCTCACAAACTGAAACACAGACCCTGCCAGAACCAGTCCTGGGTACATCTCTTCTTAACAAAGAAGGTGGGTTCAGCTCAGAGAACCAACCAAATTGACTCGTGCTGACCAAGAAAGAAAAGTGACACAGTCATATCCAGAAAGGATGTATCAGGCTGGGGAACTGAGCATTTATTCTGTTCTCCGGCCCAGCCGTCCCACAACGGGCTTCCCCGAGAAGCTCCCTCCCTTTTCAAGGGGAGGGCTGCCAGAGTCCAAGAAATCCAGAGGTCTTGCCAAAGCTTCAAGGCCTCAGAAGCCCATGCCAAAAGGCTCTACCTCTGCTCAGGGAAGAGAGTCTGGTTTTGGTAGCTGCCATTTGGCCAAGCCCATGGATACAGGCCAAGATGACATCAAGTGGCAAGAAGGGGTGGGGGTGGGGATGGGAGCTAGCATTCACTGCTAAGTGACCAGGACAGGGCCCTCTGAAGCTATCAGCTTTCCCACATGGATGGTACAGACCTCAGGTACTGTAACAAGGCTGTAAGTCCAGCTACCCACCCTCCTCTCTGGGCTCTACTGAGTCCAGCAAAGGTCATAGCCCAGAAGTCCCTCTCCCATCCTCCAAGGGGGCAAGACATCTGGGCATCCTTGCAGCCTAAGGGATCCCTTCCTAGAAAGGCAAGCTCTTCACTACTCCACACAAGTAATATCACTGTCAAGGATATCTGTAACAATACCTACCATTTACCAAATGCTTGCTACAGCCTGCTCTACACGTCAGTCTATTTCACCCACAGTCCTGGAATCCAAGTTGCAGATGAGTAAACTGAGGCTGTGAACAGGCAAGTGCTGCTACAAGTGAAGAAGCAGGCCCAGGAAATGAAATGGGTAGCTCAAGGCCACATAGCTGGTGACCAACACCAGTCAGACCACCCATTCAGGACCCTTGCCAGTACCCAAAGATGCCTCTGGTCTACCTCTCACACATGAAGAAATGGAAGATTCATACAGGTGTCCTGGCCTCACCTTGTGCCCCACCAACATGGCTGATTCAAACACCATAAGTCTGGGAGCACAAACAGCACATAGCACACTGCCTGCCTTTCTCTCCTTAGAAAATTACAATGGGCAGGCGAGGGGAACAGGGTTCCCGACATCTTCTCACGTGGCCAAAGCACTCAGGCCCTGGAAGGGTCCAAGTTAGAAAACGCTGAAGCTATGGAAGGAAGTTCATCCCAAGAGAAGGCCTCAATAGTTAGGCATAGAATCACCACACAGTCCAGCAATTCCACTTCTAGGTATAGACCCTGAAGATTTGATAGCAGAAGCACAATACATATACACTGATGTTCACCAGAACACTACTCACAATAGCAAAAAGGTGGAAACCAACATGTCCATCAATAGGTGAATGGATAAACAAGATGTGGGCCATTCACACAATGGAATACTAGTCAACCAGAAAGCATGAAGTGCTGATAAATGTCATCATGGGGAAGAACCTTGAAAACAGTGAGCTGCGTGAACTCAGTCAGACACAAAAGAACAAATTATATGACCCCACTTACATGAACTATCTAAGATAAACAAGTGTATAGAGACCAAAGTTTATTAGTGGTTCCCAGGGGTGGGCAGGAGGGAGAGTCACTGCTTAGGAGACACCAAACTGCTGTTAAAGGTAATGAAAAGACCTGGAAACATAATGGTGATGGTTGAACATGATGAACACTGTCACTCAGCTGTGCCTGTGAAGAATGACGAAATGACAAATGTTTTGTTACATATACACTTGCAATTAAAAGAGAAGACCTAAAGCTTCCAGCAGCCTGGTTCACCTCTAAGCCACGAGAGGGTGCTTCCTCGTGGCCCACCCAGCTGCCACACATTCACCCTGCGGCCGGACCACCTCTGACTTTTTCCAGGGAACTGTTGATGAATGCTCTGTGCCTAGCCTGCTCTCAGAGCCATACATATACAGGCCTCGCATCCCAGTCCTGGGACTTTGCACTCACCCTGGGGCACTTCAAAGCAATTCTTCCATGGGCACCTGCTCTCTCCCATCCTTCTCAGAAATAAGGACTGCCTCGCCCTAACAGTAACTCAGCCAACTTTGTGGCCATCTCCAGCCCATTATGGGAGCAGGTGCTGCCTTTGTCCATTTGAGCAAACACACTGTGCCACACAACCTTATTATCACTCCCATTTTACCGGTGAGGAAACTGAGGCGCAAAGTTCCACAGCTAGTAAAATGACAGGGCACAAGGCTAATGCATGTAGTGGGTTAAATAATGTATACCAAAAGCAAAATTTCTACATCCTAACCCCTGGAGCTCTGGTGATGTAGTGGTTAAAGCATTGGGCTGCTAACCAAAAAGGTCAATAGTTCGAATCAACCAGCTGCCCTGCAGGAAAAAGATTAAACTGCCTGCTTCTGTAAAAGATTGACAGCCCCAGAAACCCTATGTGGCAGTTCTATTCTGCCCTAAAGGGTCGCTATGAGTCGGAATCTACTCAATGGCAGTGGGATAAATTTGGTTTTGGTTTAATCCCTGGAACCTGTGAAGGTACCCTTATTTGAGAAAAGGGCTTTTGCACCTGCAATTGAGTTAAGAATCTCAAGATGAGATCATCCTGGATTTAGGCCATAAATGCAATGACAGGTGTCTTTATAAGAAGAAATGAGTTCACAAAGATAGCAGGGAGAGAAAGCCATGCTGAGTAAGGAGGAAAAGACTGGAGTGGTGCTGCCATAAGCCAAGCAACACCTGGAGCTAGAAGAGGCGAAGAACGATTCTCCTCAGAAACTTTAGAGGGAGCATGGCCTTGCCGACACCTTGATTTCAGATTCTGGCCTCAAGAACTATGAGAAAATCAACTTCTGTTATTTAAAATCAAGTGTATGGTGATTTGTTACAGTAACCCTAGGAAACTGATATGCCCAGCTCTGGCCAACTCCAGAAGCCACACTCTTATCCCCATGCCACTGTTACTTGGGCATGATAAAGGAAAAAAATTCTTCCAGACTTGAGAATGGATCATCCCAGAATAAGGATCACAGTTTGAAATGCAGACTTTCTCTTCTTTAAACATGGTTCAGTTAGCAGTTACCTCTCAAAGAGAAGTGTTGTCTTTATACGGTCACTATAAGTTGGAACCAACTCACTGGCACCTAAACAAGTCGGAATTGACTCCCTGGCAATGCATTTGGTTTGGTTTTGGTATGCAATACAAATAATAACATCAAGATTATCAACCAAACAAAAACATAAAATGTAAGAAAGTCTTCTGGAGTCAGATGTTCACAAGGGGAACCTGCGTGTGGGACATACAGGAACTCTCTGTATTATCTTCACCATAATTCTGTAGATCTACAACTTCATAAATAAAAAAGTTTATTGGGAAAGGATAAAAACAAAACCAACCAACCAAAAATACTCCTTGAGAGTAAGCCCTTTGTGGATAAGCCCTGGGATTCAAGTTTAAAGAACGCTGCCCTACTTTATTCTGTCCAGGACAAAGTTGGCCATGAGTGCTTGCAAAATGAATGGCATGCTTATTGACGTCTGTATTCTGAGCTTCATCAGTGTCTGTCCTGAGCACTGATGCTCATCTGGGACACCCCTCTCCCACCTCCTCCTTCTCCAGTCCAAGAAGATCCCTACTCTGCCCCAGCAAATAGAGGCGTCATACTTGAATCTTGTCTTTTCAAAGTCGCTGTGCAGGGAAAACCCTATGAGTGAGAATCGACTGCTCTAGGCTTCTCTTTGGAACACCCCATTCCCAAAGTGGCAAAAAATTCACACAAGCCAAAGCCAGCAAGAGGCCTCCCTCCCCAGAGCATCCTGCAAGAAACCCTGGAAGACAAAGCTGAATGAAATAGACCAACAAAACGCCAACTAGGAATTAGAGAGAACAGGTAAGCAACGAAACAGTAACAAGAGAAAATAAAAAAGATAAACTACAAAGCCTTAGGGTACTGGGCAAATACTTTTGTGATTCTGTTCCACTGAAATGTCAGTTTGGCAATCAAGCTTCAGAAAATGTAACCAGCGTCTCACATCCCCAAAAAGAAGACAGCACTGTGGCGAAGGAGGTTACCTCTTACTTCCAAGCTGGACTTCAGGCACGGCCCTGTCCCTACACAGTTCCACCAGGCGCACATCCTGCGGCTCACACACTTGCGTCCAGGAGTTTCCCATTCTTGGATTGTGACCGCCAAGCCCTCCACTTACGATGAACCAAGTCCTCCCGGCCACCCCGGGCTGGCAACCACTTTCCAACAGTCCTGAGCAGCCCCCAGCCCACCATCCTCCCTGCTAAGGGCGGCCACACCCGCCCCTGAGGCTCCCAGCCCTCCCACACCCCAGGCCCTCTTTCCTTCCCACCCAGCCCCCACACCCCCTGCTTCCTCCGATTTCCACCTTCCATTCTCAGTCCCCCACTCCACACCCAAATCCCGGGCCCTCGCTCCATTTCCTGTGTCCCTCCTTACTCTGGGCGTCTCACCCCTCTGGCCACCATGCACGCCTTCTCTTCTCTCTCGGCCCCATGACACCGTTTTTCACACCCCTCACTCCAGGCCCCCTACGCCCACATCCCTTGGCTCACATTCCAGGCCCTCAGCTCAGTCTGAGACCCCCGCCAGACCCCCACGGCTCAGAGCGCCTCACGCTCAGGTCCCCGGGCCCGGTACCTCGGACCTGTGCCGCTCCTTCAGAGACCCCCGCCCAAGCCGGCCTCGTGCGCAGTCCCCATTCGGCCGGCTTTCGGCCCGGCCCCGGCAGCGTCATACTCACGGCTGTAAAGAGCGATGCTCGCTGCGTCCGGGCCGGCGCGCACCTCGAGGCGCAGCGCCTGCTGCTCCGCGTGCCGCTGGATCTCGCCGTTCGCGTCGCCAATAGTGAGGAGACGGGCGCCAGGGAACACGGACACGGCCGCGCAGGGTC